GTTGTTGTTGTTGTTGTTTCTTGACTTGCCGGTCGAGTATGGCACAGAGTTTTTTGATGGAGTTCATGTCAGGAGATTGGCTCGGCCAGGTCAACTACTGGATACCATTTTCTTCCTGCCACTTTTGGGTGTTTCTAGCAGTGTGACACGGTGCTCCATCTTCCTGGAACAACGTTGTGTTCTTGTCCACGAAACCCGAGGAATAGATTGGCAAGAGTCCTTCCTCCAATATTTCGCAAAATTTATGTTGCCAATGCAGAGTCTGAATCAGACTGGTGTTGTCAATACATATGCATATCTTTAGTACAAATACTTTATTAATATGTGGTATTTGTGTACAACAGACTCGTACTGTTAACTAAAAGCTTGCTACATTTCATGCCAATACTCATAGTAAATTTGGAATTATAGTCAATATTATTTTTCCTATATGAGGTAGGTCTGTTGGACTGATCATGTGCATATTCAGTTAAATGTTACTCTTATAACACAAAAGCTGAAGTGCAGGTCATGTTCAGCAGCATATCACAGACCCAAACCTTGCACCTTCAAAATACACAGCCCAGCATGTTAACCACAAGGCCATGCCTTGTCCTATATACACAGATACCAAAGTATTTGGTATATAACAATAACACTGAAACTGGACAATACTTTGAAACATGTTTTAATAATAATAATAACACTTCACTGATATCTTATTTATTGGAATTATGCTGAAGAAGGTTAATACAGACCAGCACAGGCTATTAATGCCCATAAAGAAACTTCATCATATATCAAAGATACACAAACTAAATCACTCCTCAAGCATGACCAGTGTGTTTATTTAACACAAAGGAAATACAAACTTTAGATATGAAACTATATCTTATTAAATGGTAAATGGAAGTCAGAATTTTAAATGTTTTAATTGCTTGTGAATATCCACACATGGATCTATAAAACTTAACAGATACATACAGTAAACATGGTTTTTGCACTTGTACAAACTAAACTTGCTTTTAATTTCATGTATACCACTACAGTGATACAACTTCAGTAACGTGCTACTACTTAAGATACTAATTTTTTATGTATATCTAACAAAAAGTAATAATATGGAAAAGAACCTACCAACAACAGATATAGTCAGAATTAAGGCTTGCATTGCTTGTGGATGTGACAAGTTATTTGAAGTTTATCACTAAAATCCTGTTATTTTAATACAAATCACAAAAGGAGAGATGCCAATCTAACAATAATTGACTGTATACACATATATATCTCAATTTTCACTCTCAAGTCCAGTTTATTAAAATTTAACTTTTCTTTTTTTATATATACTTTGTCAATTTCTACCAATAACTGAATATTTATGATTAATCCTTCCCAAGACAGACAAAATTATACCGACAGTCCTACGAGGAACACATACTTTGTGATGTTACTACAGATTATGCTTTAAGATGATATACAGCTGGGGCACTTTGAGATGTAAAACACCTACCATGTAGAAAGTACAAATTCCAAAGCTTGTCCTGTTTTTTTTTTAATATATATATATATATATATATATATATATATAT